GGATTCACTTTACTGGACTTATTTTGGACTGTTGAACAGAAATACCAATTCAAAGCCATTATGAAGCTTGAAAGAGCCAGGACATTTTTTTATATAACTCAGATTGGATTCGTCTGAAAGAAGAAAGTCATATACACCTAGCATGGCTTGAGGGGAGTAAATCATGGGCTAATTTTCATTTCTGGGGGAACTATCCCTTTAAGGGTCTTTCAAATCATGCTAAAATGACAATAAATAGCATTTATTGCATGAAATGTAATGTTATTAATATAATAATATATTGGATTCGTCTGAAAGAAGAAAGTCATATACACCTAGGATGGCTTGAGGGGGAGTAAATCATGGGCTAATTTTCATTTCTGGGGGAACTATCCCTTTAAAGGTCTTTCAAATCATGCTAAAATGACAATAAATAGCATTTATTGCATGAAATGTAATGTTATTAATATAATAATAATAAATATTTAATATGTTGACATTAATTTGGCAGCCTTAATATTTATTTATTTATTATTTTAGTTTTCTGACTTAATTATGCCATGCTTTCATTTGTTTCTGCTTCATCAGTGTTTGATTTAGTCTCTTGTTTTGCCCTGTGTGTGTGCTGAGCTGTTGAACATGTCTTTTTAGGGAACCTCCTAAAGAAGACACAAAGCCTCAGCCAGCTCAGTGAGTACAAGACAACTCTTCCAGCGTACTTTGAGCTCTCAGCCTTCCTTTTCCACCCTTTGCTGTCTGTGACACATACCTGAGAGCTGACCTGTGATCAGTTATTTGGCTCTATGATGTCCTGTAGTCGGTACACTTGTATAGCATCACCTCTACTTTTCTTAATAGTGCTTTTACTGAAACTGTTCCTGCTTTCTCCCCCCTTACTAACCTTTTTATCCATTCAGTAGCACATTTGTGTTGCTCTAGTGATCCGTGTGTACATGTCAGCTGCTCCTCCACAATGCTCCAGTAATACAGCACTACTGTCCTCTTGATTCATACTCAGCTGCTGTCGTATTGTGTCTTCTTTCTCCTCTCTCAGTCCTAATGCTGCTGTTTCTCCGATCACTCATCTCTCGTTAGTCAATTCTAATGCATTACTCTCTTGTGTGTCAGTAAAACTATGTGAGCATCCTTCGAACAAGATCAGTTTACTTAAGTTAAAATGGCATTAGACTTGTTTTAAGAGACTATATATTTAACAAAGATATTTTAATTTGTAAAAAATATTTTTTTAATTTAATTTTTAATAGTATACCTTAGTAAATTTTGGTATCGGTAATTTATTTTTAAAACAAAATAACAAAAACTATTATCTAAAAGTTTAATGTCTGTTGTTCCGAAGTACATGTTTTAAGGGTGTTTAGATATAAAAAAAAATTAAAATACAGATTGAAATTTTTTTCAAATTTGTTTTTTTGCAGTGTAAAAATTGAATTATTTATTTATTACATTTTAAAATGATTTGTAAAGTTAAAGTTATTTTTGTGGAACCCATGACATTTTTCAGCTGACCCTTTTGGTCAATTAATGCATCCTTGCTAAATAAAAAATATTTAATTAATTCATAAATACTTACATACATAATCTTATTAACTCCAAACTTTTGAACCGTAGTTCAAACATTGATAGTCTATTCAAAATTGAATCTCTGCTCACTATTATGTCATTCTAAACCTGTTTGACTTTCTTTTTTAGAACACAAAAGGAAATATATCCTAGCTGAAAAAGAGCAGCGTAAACAGTCTGTTCAACATGCCCTTTTGTGTTCAGGTTTGCAGTGACATGAAGGTGTGTAAATGATGAATTTTCCTTTTTGGATGAACTGAAATTAACAGCTAGAAGATTCGACACACACACACTTACAAACAGTTGCAATCAAGCATTACAGCACCGTTCAACAAAATGTTTTGGGATTCCTTGGTGTCGTGCTAGCAAATGAGGAAGAGAGAGAAACACATCCCTCGGTTCTTGCCACTTGATGTTGCTGTGATTGTCTGAACAGGTGGAACCCTTTCAGTGGAATCACTGAGCGAATGGGTGCCGTCAGAATGAGAGTCCAAACAGCTGATAAAAACACCACAATAATGATTAAATAATTCTCTCCTGATTCAGTCAAAATGACTTTTTCACTGGAGGAAGCATTATTATGGATAGAGGACTCATATTTACGCCAGAGGCAACGGTTTGAAGTAAAAAATGTCTTGATGGATTTGTTTCTTACAAACATGCAGCATTTCACTTCACAAGACCTTAAAAGGGACATCGGATGCTCATTTTCCACAAGTTGGTATGATTCTTGAGGGTCTTCATGAAATGTCTGTAACATACTTTGGTTAAAATTCATCAATGGTCGCGTAAAACAACACCCTTTTTACCATGTCAAAAACAGCTCTGTTCAAAGCGAGCCGTTTCGGTGCATGTT